ATCTGTGTTGGAAGAAATACAGTCTCAATGCTCCTTGGAAGTCAGACTTTCTCTCTCCTACTTCAGACATACTGTCAGGAGGAACCAGTCACTGGAGAAGGGTATCATGTTTGATAAAGTGGAGAGTAGGAGAAAAAGAGCAAGAACCCCAAGTAGATGGATTAGCATCTACTAGGCTCAAACAGCAATGATTGTGAGGTTGGTGCAGGACTGAGCAGTGTTTTGTTCTGTTGTCTCTGTGAGTTAGTACCAACCAACTCAATGGCACCTAACAACAAAGCTAGAATTGATTAGTGTTGCCCTCCAGCGAAAAGGAGCCATCTCAGAAGCAGAGGTGGGAGATCCCAGGACCTTTAAGAAGGAAGAGCATAAGTGGAGCAGGAGACATCAAGAGGCGACATCAAGCGGTAACAGCAGAGGCATTGACATGGAAAGACAGAACAATTTCAGGTTCTAGGCCTATGGACTGAATATGCAGGCAGATGGCTGGCTTGCAGAATGTGCCCTTTGGGCAGTCACAGCCTGACTAACAGAGCTTTGTATCACTTGCTTTAGCAGAGCAGAGGCCAAGGGGCCACATGGCTGAGAGGCCCAAGGTAAGAATGAGGTGTGTCTTCAGTATGGCCAACAAGAAGTGTTTGTTCCTAGCTGGAGAGCTTGAGTTGATTTTGATCCTGAATTGTACCCTGCTCACTTCCCTGATAAGCCCCATGATCTTAAGTATTGTTGAATTTTGTGTGGCCACTGCAATGAATTCTCAAACTTAGATGTGAAGCTGAGAGTGCTCTGGGAAGAATGGTTGATGTCAGAATAGGATAAAGAAGATGGTAGGGTGGAAGCATGTCTGACAGCTGCTTCAAAATTGGCTTTGGGCTTTTTTGTATTTGATTCTTTCCCTATTGTAAAACCACGGAAAGTCAGACATGACTCCCACATGGTGTTTTGTCCACACAGTCAAATGTCTTTGCATGATCAGTGAATCACCAATAAACATCTCTCTGGTATTCTCTGCTTTCAGTCAAGCTCCTCTGACATCAGCAATGATATCCTTCATTCCATGTTCTACTCTGAACCTGGCCTGAAGTGCAACCATTCTTGATCTTCAACAAAATTTTATTTGTGTGCATTATTGATATGGTTTGATCATTTCTGCATTTTGTTGGATCACCTTTCTTTGACATAGGAATGAACATGGATCTCCTTGGAATTTCTTGGCATAGATGAGTGAACACATCCCATGCTATATCCACTTGTTGAAACATTTCAGTTGGTATTCCATCAATTCCCAGAGCCTGGGGGTTTTTTGGCCAGTGTCTTCAATACAGCTTGGAGTTTTTCCTTCAGAATCATTGGTTCTTGATCATGTACCACCTCCTGAAATGTTTGAACATGGCCAGTTCATTTTGGTACAGTGACTGTACATCCTTACCATCATCTTTTGATGTTTCCTGCTGTGTTCAGTATCTATTGTTAGGTGTTCTCGAGTTGGTTCCAACTCATAGGAATGCTGTTTAGGGTTTCTGAGGCTACAAATCATTGTGGGGGGCAGAAAGTTTATCTCCCACGGAGCGGCTGGAGGGCTTGAACTGCTGACCTTGTGGTTCATTGTTGTTGTTAAGTGCCATCGAGTCGGTTCCGACCCATAGTGACCCTGAACAAGTTTTCCGAGGCTATAAATGTTTACAGGAGCAGAAAGCTTCATCTTTCTCCCGCGGAGCAGCTGGTAGTTTTGAACTGCTGACATTGTGGTTCACAGCCCAATTCATAACCACTACACTACCAGAACCCACTGCTTATCCTACAGAGCCACCGCTCGCATTTTGCCCTAGAATCCTTCAATATTGCAACTTGAGGCTAGATTTTTTTCTTTAGTTCTTTCAGCTTGAGAGACGCTGAGCATGTTTTTCCCTTTTGGTTTTCTAACTCCAGGTCTTTGCATATTTCTTTATAATACTTCTTGAGTTTTTCTGTTTGAATTTTTCTGTTCAGCTCTTTTACTTCATCATTTTTTTCTAGTCACTGTACCTTCCAAACATTCAAGAGCAAGTCTCAGGGTCTCTTCTTACATCTATTTTGGTCTTTCTTTGCCAAATTGTTGTTGTTAAGTGCCGTCAAGTTGGTTCCAACCCATAGCGACCTTTGTATAGGGTTTCCAAGGAGCAGCTGGTGAGCTTAAACCACCAACCTTGCAGTTCAAACGGGTTTGCAGTCTGACGCATTAACCCACAGTGCCACATGTAATTCCCATAAATTGATTTCATTTTCCTTGGATCCACAATCAACACTCAGGGAAGCGGCAGTCAAGAAGTAATGTATTGCATTAGACAAGTCTGACGCAAAAGACCTCTTTAAAGTGTGGAAGTGCAAGGAGGTCACTTTGAGGACTAAATGTACGCCTGACCCAAGTAATGGCATTTTCAATTGCCTCATACTAATGCAAAAGCTGGATAGTGAATAAGAAAGACCATAGAAGAATCAATGCATTGGAATTGTGGTGTTGGTGAAGAATATTGAAAGTATCATGGACTGCCAGAAGAACAAACATCTGTCTTGGGGGAGAGAAGTTCAGCCAGAAGGCTCCCTGAAGTGAGAATTGTGAGACTTTGGACTTGTTATCAGGAGGAACTAATTCCTGGAAAAGGACCTCAAGCTTGGCAAAGTGGGGAGTCAGTGAAAAAGAGAAAGACTCCCAGTGAGACGGACCGACACAGTGGCTGTGACAATGGGCTCAGACGTGACACTGAACGTGAGGATGGCACAGGACTGGGCAGTGCACAGAGTCACTGTGAGTGGACGGAAGGCACCTAACAATTTCTCTAAGAGCAAGGGATTTCAATATATAGACAAAATATTCTGTTAATTAGCTCACTTCATTTAAATCTATAAAGTACTGAGAACAAGTAATAATAGTGTTTTGATTTAAAGACTGGATGCTTTACTTTGGCAGTTGAAAGCAGAACATTCTTAACCATATGATAGTGTCGCTATTTGAAAAGTTTATAGATTGTACTTGAAATCCTATCTCAACTGGGGAATACCTAATAGATATAAGGAATAGGATGTGGCCTGGTACAGTTAAGTACAACTGGACTGATCAAAAACCTATGTCCCACTCTGGTTGTTACTAGCTAGTGTGCCTGATCATGGTCTAGTCAATTATTTGCTTTCAAACTGATCAAAAGATAGAAATAGTCTCTAGTTCCTTTCCCATCAGATTTAAACAGCAGTCTGTTGTCGTTAAGTGCTGTCGAGTCTGTTCCGACTCAACAGTGACCCTGTATAGGGTTTCTAAGAAGCAGCTGGTGAGTATGAACCACTGACCTTGCAGGTCAAACTGACCTTGCAGTCCAGTATTATCCTACAGTGCCACATCAGGTCTGTAGTTGTTAAGTGCTGTCGATTCCGACCCATAGCGACCCTGTATAGGGTTTCCAAGGAGCAGCTGGTGAGCTTGAACCACTGACCTTGCAGTTCAAATGACTTTGCAGTCCGATGCATTAGCCCACAGCGCCACACCAGGACGCCACATAAGGTCTGGGTGGTCCTAAAATCAGATAAAGTAACATTGAAACTGACTTCAGTGCTTTTATATAGCCCATGAGCTAGTTTCAAACGGGTTTGAAGCCACAGCATTTGTTCCCTTATTTCAGGAGAGCTCTGGTAGCGTAGTGGTTATGAGTCGGGCTGGGAACCACAATGCCAGCAGTTCGAAACTGCCAGCTGTTCTGCGGGAGAAAGATGAGGCGTTCTGCTCCCATAAAGATTTACAGCCTCAGAAACCCTGTACGTGGTCACTGTGAGTCAGGACCAACTCCACAGCACACAGCCATGGATGGATGAGTAAGGAGGGGAGCTCTGAGCACTGGTGTAAGCTGTATTTGCAGTACAAGGGGGCTTCAAAAAGTTCATGGAAAAATGGAATTAAAAGATACTGAACTTTTCCCCATAACTTTTTGAAGTTCCCTTGTGCAGCTTTCTTATGTCTCGATTCATGAAAGTATTCTCTTTAAAAAAAACAAAAAACAAACGTAGTATAAAGATGAAGATACACACTTGAAAATATTTGTTTCATAACAGAAAATGTGAGTTGTTATACATGGATATTTCACCCTAACCAAACCACAAATCTTGTTACCCCATAACTTTCCAACCATAAGCATCTGCTGTAATGGAGAATTGACAAGAAATTCCATAATATTCTTGAGAAACTGTGTCCCAATCTTGTAGTGTGTGTAACAGACTCATGCAGATATCTATCCCGTCTGCATCCAAACTTGTTAAGCAAAGTCCTGAGTATATGTCTTTGAAGTTTCAACAGAAAACTACATCAGAAATTGCAATTTATGAATAGGGAAATTTCACTTAACAGGTACCTTTTCCAGTCTCCAGGGTTTCATCATTAAGTGAGCTCACATTTGAGGTGAAAGGTGCCATTTAGGTATTAAATTTTATTAAGTTCTTTGAATTTGTCATTAAAGTAGGTTCATGCTCTGTTCTGGTTTAGCATACGTACGTGTAGCTCACATCTGGGAACTATAACACCTTAATCAAGGCTTGCCTCTCTTTCCACTGCTTAAAACAGTCACTGAGTCCTTAATTGTAAGAGAGTAACCTTATCACGGGTCGCGTTTTACTTGCCACAACCTGCTGGAAGAAGGAAACATGCTCACTTGTCTGGACTAGTATTAAGACATTGTTTTTTTTTTTTTTAAAAGGAACATTTTATAAGAAGAAATTAATAGACTTAGATATTAACATGAAATGTAAAGAAAACGGCGTTTTAAATGCGTTCAAGGAAAACACTGTAATAAGAGAAAACCCAAAGAACATAATATAAAGTCACTTTATTTTTTAAAAAGGTTTTACAAGTCTGTCCATCAACCTCAGACATACACAGGGAGTTAATCATATCTTCCATCAGATGAGGTTCTACTGCTTCAGTCCCTCAGAAAAATACAGGTAAAGCGAAAACCCTGTTCACAAATATGCATCTGCTGTATTGCTCAGCCTAGTTCTGAAACTTTCTCTTTATAAATAAATACTCTAATACAGTTGTTAGTGATGGCACTGATGTTGTGCAGCTGCATGTGGCCATAATTTTACAAGCTTACTTTTACTGTTGCTAACTCCTGGTTCTGTTCCAAGGCCCAAATCTTGTAAAGTATGAAAGAAAGATTAACTGGGCTGCCAGAAAAGTCCACTGAATGCATCCTGTAGCGCTCTGTGACAAGCGAGAGAAGACGTATAGCCCCCAGCAAGATCCTGTGGAGAGGCAGCTCTGACATGGTTTAAATACCTAAAGCGAAACATAGAAAACATGAGTAAAATTGGTAACATTTTAAAGAGCAATAGTAAATCTTGAATTTTAAAGAGAAATTCTGTCATAAAAAAATGTTCAGACTTTAAATGGATTATTGCCTTTCTAAAGAAAACACAGCACTGTTCATGGAAAGCCTGAACATCAAAATTACTTCAGTACTCCAAAATCGTGTCTTATTCCTTGCAGGAAAAAAAAAAAAAAAAACCTTTAGAAAATTCCATCTCCAAGGAATACCTGAGCTAGAACTTATGTTCAAGTTAATGTCCCAAATAATAAAGAAAAATCTTCAAATGCTCGTGAAAACCAGTGTATCTCAATATTCTTCAGTCCCCACCTATGATGGGCTACATCAAGCACATGTTTGTCCCTAGGTAGTGAGGACTGGCAGGGAAGTTAAGTTGGAGCTAGGTTTCAAAACCTCTTGATTGCCACATAAAGGGATTTAGATCCATCCAATAATCAAAGATAGTCTTTACATATTTTTGAGTGAATATATGGCACAGTGACCTAGCATATAATTAATCTGGAAGCTGATTACAATTAAAAATAAAACCACCATCTGCATTTGGTATATACAACCCGGCGGAACAAGAGTTCCTTTGACATGGACCATTACAATAATAGCATCTTCCTATGTACTTAAATGGTTACAATGATCTGAGACAAGTGGCTAAATATTTTTACATAAAATTCAAATAAATTATCTTAGTTTAAAAAAAAAATGTAACTGACACTGATTTTCTTCAGTCATAGACTTTTTAGCAATATAAACTTTCTACAGGACACAGGAGTCCGTCCTGGTGTGGCACCTAATGGTAAGCACTAGACCCCACGGTGGGTGGTTCAAACTCACCAGCCACTCCTTGGGAGCCCCATGCAGGGTCACTATGGGTTGGAACCGACTCAATGGCACTTAACAACAACAACCTTGACAAACGTAGATAAAACAGGTTTGAAAAATGAAACAATCCTAGACAAAGAAAGGGCAGCTTGTTAGCATGACTGCCCGCACTGCTGGAAAACAAATATTTCCAGCTTTGCTTTAATGCTGAGTTTAGAAACCACATTGTTTCTTTAGGCCTCAGGAAGGAAAGGAGCTTCACTGGCCTTAGAATTACCAGTGCAGCAAATGAATAAATCAGGTACCACAACATTTTAATAACTTGGAAACTTCTATTCATTCATTCAAACTTCCTGTGTGTCAAGCTCTTGATGCAGGAGCGACTTATTATTTCTAACATAATAACAAGTCTGTTTTTCATTTGTATTCCTATTTAAGAAGTCCATGTGATTAAAAAATAGAAAGCAATATAAGACCAAATAGAAAAAGTGGTTAAAGTCAGACAGAGCCTAAGCTCCTATAATTGACTGTAATTTATTCACATTGCCACAAATCAAGGTGTTAAACTCAGTTCTTTGCTTCTCTGCCAAAGGTGAAGGGGAAAATAGAAGGTGGAAGGGAATTAATATTTATTACTAAACACTGTAGGTTAATGCGCTGGACTTTAAAGCCGGTTTGAACCGCAAGGTTGGCGGTCAAGCTCACCACCCGCTCCTCGGAAACCCTAAAACAAGGTCACTGTGGGCCGGAACCGACTCAACATTACTTAACAACAACAACAGCACAACAACGCAATGATCATCATTTTTTATATTTATGGTGGCGGTGGTGGTTGTGTGCTGTGGAGTCGGTTCCAACTCATAGTGACTCTATACAGGGTTTCCAAGGCTGTAAATCTTTACAGGAACAGAAAGCTTTGTCTTTCTCCTGTGGAGCAGCTGGTAGTTTCGAACTGCTGACCTTGAGGTCATAACCTCTATGCTACCAGAGGGAAAAAAAAGTTGGAGTATGCATTTCCAAAATTTGCATACTTTATCAATGGATCTCTCTCTATATAACTTATAAACTATATTATTATATATAGGTAGTCCTTGGGTTATGAATGACATCTGTTCTTAACTGTGTCTCAAGGTCTCAAAGTAAGTAAGTTGGAACAGGTGCATGTGGCTCTTATTTAGTCTGACTTTAGTGCAAGAAAAGGAACGCAGTGGCAGTTGTGGGTAAGGCATCGGGCTGCTAACCACAAGCTCAGTGGTACAAACCCACCAGCGACTCCACAGGAGAAAGATGAGACTGTCTGCTTCTGTAAAGAGCACAGTCACGGAAACCTTATAGAGGGTCACTCGGCAGTAGGTTCGGGTTGTGGTTTTTGTCCAAGAAAAGGCTTGAAGCATTTGCAAAGTTGCATGTACAATAAGCAAAGATGATTGTGATGAAGAATTTGTTGTGAGTTGGGGTTGGTTCAATGGTTTCAGTGTGAGGGCAAATTTACCTAACAATCAAAGGCAAGTACAAGTTGTCTGTAAGCTGAACGCTCATAACCCTGGTACCAAAAGGTTGACTTTGAAGCGATCAGCTGCACTGCAGGAGAAGATGTGGCAAACTTCTTCCAATGACAGATGACAGCCTGGGGAACCCTATGGGTGGGGGCAGTTCTACTCTATTCTACAGGTTCAATATGATTTGGAATGGACTTAGTTTTGATGTTGTTATGATACACATTTCTATTATAAATATGTTGTTGTTGCTAAGTGCCACTGAGGCCATTCAGACTCATAGTGACCCTGTACAAGGTTTTTCGAGGAACAACTGGTGGGTTTGAACTGCTGACCTTGTGGTTCTCAGTCCAGTGCTCATCCTATAGCACTACAGGAGGTGTGGTGCTGCGGGTTAATGTGCTAGACTGCAAGGTTGGTTTGAGATGCAACGTCGGTGGTTCAAACTCACCAGCCACTCCTCAGAAACCCTATATGGGTCACTATGAGTTGGAACCAACTCAAAGACACTTAAAAACAACAAAAGCAATATAATAATGGGACTTCTGGTGTGATGCTATAGGATCAGCACTGGATTGGGAACCACATGGTTGATAGTTCAAATGCACTAGCTGTTCCTTGGGAACCCTATACAGAGTCACTATAAGTCAGAACTGACTCAGTAGCACTTAACCAAAACAATAATGTAATAATGGGGCTCCTGGTGTGGCACTGTAGGATCAGCATTGGACTGTGAAGCACAAGGTTGGCAGTTCAAATCCACTAGCTGCTCCTTCCTTGGAAACCCTATTCAGGGTTCCTATGAGTCAGAACTGACTTGATGGCATGTCACAACAACAGCAAATATAATAATGGAAGCACGGTGGAGCTTAGTATAAGTACTACACTGCAAACCACAAGGTAAGAGGTTTGAGCCCACTAGTCACTCCATGGGAGAAAAATGAGGCTATTTTCTGCTGCAAAGATTTCCCAACCTCAGAAACCCTATATGGGATCACTATGAGTTGGAACTGACTCAATGGCACACAGTAACATTTATTGCTAAGTGCTCTAGAGTTGATTCCAACTCATAGTGACCATGTGTAGGGTTTCTAAGAGTAGCTAGTGGGTTTGAACTGCCAACCTTGTAATTAGCAGTCAGTGCTTATCCTACAGAGTCAATGTTAATGTTGTTGCTAAGTGACATGGAGTCGGTTCCAACTCATAGCAACTCTGTATAGGGTTTCTGAAGGTGCTCTGGTAGCATAGTAGGTTACAAGTTGAGCTGCTAACCACAAGGTCTGTAGTTCGAATCTACCAGCCACTTAGTGGGAGAACATAAAGATTTATAGCCTTGGAAACCCTATACAGTGTCACTATGAGTCCGAACTGACTCCACGACACATAACCACTCTCACCATGGGGTTTCCGAGGTTGTAAATCTTTCTAGGAGCAAAAATCCTCATCATTTTACCACAGAGTAGCTGGTAGGCTCAAACTTCAGAACCTGTGGTTCTGAGAACCAGTGTTGATCCTCCAGAGCCACCACACTATATACTAACATGCTACTACTAAGTACCATCTAGTTGATTCCAACTCATAGTGAACCTGGTTGCTAGTGGGTTACATAGTGACTCCGGTGGCACAGTAACTCTGGTAGCATAGTAGTTACGAGTTTGGCTGCTAATCTCAAGTCTGCAGTTAGAATCTACAAGCAGCTACATGAGAGAAGAAGAGAAGATTTACAGCCTGGAAGACCTATACAGGGTCACTACGAGTCGGAACTGACTCCACAGCACATAACCACCACAACTCCAAGGCTGTAAATCTTGGCAACAGAAAGCCTCATCTTTTTCCTGTAGAGCAGCTGATGAGCTCCAACCACAGACCTTGTGGTCTGCAGTCCAGTGCTTATCCTACAGAGCCACTGCATTCCCCATATACTAATATAGTAAGTATATTATAAAACACATATAATTTAAAATGTTTAAATGAAGAGATTAAAAAATTTAAATACCAGTTATAATATTTAAATTAAAGTTCTAATATGTTATCCCTAATCCCCATCTTGGAATCCTGGCGTGGTGCTGTAGGATAACTTAACCGCAAGGTCAGCAGTTCAAACCCACCAGCCACTCCTTGGATACCCTATACAGGGTTTATATGAGTTGGAACTGACACAACTGCACTGAACAACAACATACCTCATTTTACATATCCCTACTAGAATAAATCCCAACTTCTGGAGACTACTGTTCTTTATGTAGTGATTTTCCAATTCTTGATAGAAGTGTATGTTTCATAAAGTTTAAATAGGGATTCACCAAACATACCATATGGCCAATGGACTTAGAAAAGCAGAAGGGGAAGAACACACGCAGCATTTCTCAAGCTGAGGGAACTGGGGGAAAAAAAAAAAATCAAGCCTCGACTTGCAATACTAAAGGATTCAGTGGGCAAAATATTGAATGATGCAGAAAGCATCAAAAGAAGATGGAGGCACTAGAAGGACAAGCAGACCAGCCTAGAACTGCTAGAGCAACAGAAGATAACTTCTTGAAAGAAAGATCAGCAGGAAAAATCCAAAACAAAAATGGCAGTCTGATTGTCTGCTACAAGAACAAGCAAGTTGTTTGCTGGGAAGCCATCAAGGCAAACAA